GGGCTTATTCTGTTCTTTTTGAAATGAACTCGCATCAGCTTCCGTCAAAGCAGACCATTTCTGTTTGATCTTGGAAATGTGTCCCTTTGGTGATTAGCTTCGCCTCCTCTTGGGAGCCTCCGTTCTGGTGTGAACCTCTGGTTCCCCTAGCTCCAATTATGTGCCGCCCAGCTTTCTTCCAGCCTCACCCAGAAGTCAGAGTTGTGAATTTCCTGTGAAACGCTGAGCCCTGCCACCCCAGGCAGGCCTAAGCAGCCTGGGCCAGCCAGGGTGGCAGATGGCAATGTTTCCAAACTCGTGTAGGACATGTTTCCTACATTCTGGGTAACAGTTTCTTCTTTTGGTGGCTTATTTTCCAGTGTTTGGATTCAGGGAAGCAACGTGAGATTAGCCAAGACTGTTTGAACCAGCTATAGAAACTACTTGTAGGGAGAGGCAGGATGTACTGAGGGAGGGAATGTGATCAGGCAAACCGAGAAAAGACTGTTCATGTGGGGCTTGAAGAACGAGTTCCCAAGTCATAGCTCCCGCAGCTGTGAGGAGCTCCATTCAGAATTCTCTTCATCCTTTGGGGGATCCACGACCCATCCCGGGTCACAGAAATAGTAGTGACTCAACTGGAACTCCAGCAGTAGCCCCCAAGCCCACATCTCTTCCAACGACTATGGGGAATGGAACCAGAAAGACCTTTGACGGCCCAGTCAACCAGACAGGAAGCAACGCCTTTTCAAGGGTTTGCAAAAGGTCCCATGGCTACCTGTCACTCATGGCTTCTCTGTCTACATTGTATGTCAGAAACTTCCAGAAGATTTGATTCTGTTGATGAGGGTGGGGCCAGGACAACCTGTGTTTTTTTTTTTTGTTTTGTTTTGTTTTGTTTTTGTTTTTTTGAAGTTCCTCTAGGCACGATTGGAACCTGCTGTTCTGAAAAGGATTGGCCACAGGATTGGCTGCCTCAGGAGGCCCCTTGTCTTGTGAGATAGAAAAGGTGACTGAGTATACAGCTGTGCCCAGGACTTGACTTTTTTTAAGTTTGTTATTAGCCAAGCTGTGGTGGTGCTTGCCTTTAATAGCAGCGCTTGGGAGACAGAGGCAGGTGGATCTCTTTGAATTTGAGGCCAGCCTGATCTACAGAGCTAGTTCCCGCAGAGCAGGGGCTACACAAGAAAATTATCTCAAAAAACAAAACAACAAAATACATTACTGTTTTACTTGTTATTTGCACATGTGGAAGTCAGTGAACAACCTTCAGGAGTTTGTTCTCTGTTTTCACACTGTTGAAGGTTCAAGGACCTTCTTGTTCTGGCCTACTGCAGACTAGCTGGCTCGTGGGCTCCACCACATCCAGCTTCATACATGGGATCAGAGACACAAACTCAGGTTTATCAGCACTGTTTTCCCCATTGAGCCATTCCGCCAGCCAGTGTCGTGACATCTATTGCCAAAGGTCCTTAGCATTGACTCTGTCCTGAGAAGCTTTTAAAGGCCCCAATGCCTGGCTGTACCAAAGGCTGAGTCAGCCATGATCCTCAGGGGTATAAGTTTGTGTAGACACTATAAACCAGGTAGTACCTTATGGTTCTCAAACCAGAGAGAACCATCTCAAATCAACATGTTTTGGGCAGAGTCAGACACTCCTATGTACTGCATCCTTTGTTGTGTTTACCTTGTTCCTCAGAGTATGTGAGTTGCCATCCTGGGGCTGGAGAACTGGAGGGGTCAGGTTGCTGGACTGGCAGGTAGTGCTGTCCTTATCTACACTTGAGCCGTAGGAGCAACTCCCAGCCCTCCCTCACACACCGTAGCAACATATCCTGGTCAGCTAAAGTTTGGGAAGACTAGGAGCTGGAGCCTAAATGGGCCATGTGACTGAATCCTGTCCTAGAAGAGATTGTCACCCAGCAAGAGAAATAAGATATGCATATAAAAATAGCTGTACTTAGATAATACAGAACCCAGTAAGCAGGAAAAAAGTAGGTGCGGCATCATAATTTTAAAAAAACCGCTATTGACTTATTATTTGCAGTGATGTCATGACTCCCAAAAGTCTATCAAAGTGTGTCGATCACTGCCAGTGATATGGCGATGTCTTTCACCTAGACAAGTCACTAACCTCAAAGTTTTGTTACCATCAACCCCAGAGGACTTAGCATTGTCTTCATAAATAGACAGACTCATGCAAGACCCACAGCTAAGGGACTGTAAAGGTCACCTTGCCAGCCAGCCTGCCTTACACTTAGAGAAGTAATGCACCCTGCCCAAGTCACACAGCAAGCAAGAGGGCAGGGGGGGAGGTCAGCCAGGGCTGGAGGCCGAACTTGCTGAGGAATGGGTCTCTGGCTCTGACCCCATCCACCAAGAATGCTACATGATAGTCTGTCCTCACCTAAAATCCCTCCATCAGCCTTGTTTCAATCCAGGCATCTTGTCTAGGACTGGAAGGTTCCCAGACGGAGGAACGTGGTACATTTCTGTTCACAGATAGCCATCCTGTAGCTTCCATTCCTCCCCATCTGCTGGATTCATTGCTAATATATCATGTCCATTTGGGCAGTTGTCATCATTAGAGGTAAACAGAATATATGCTAGTACGTTGAGCGGCAGAAATTTAGCTTTAACGTGGCAGTAGGAAAGAAAAGGCCGGGTGAAGGGTTACAGGTCACTCCTCCCCATAAGGAACTCAGATAGGTCCCAACGTCCTTGTGGCCACATAACCATGACTTCTGCTGTGGAGAATGCAGAACAGGCCCTGTCTAGGGAGTGTTCTCTCCCGTACACCATGGGGCTGGTAGCTGGAGAGAGATTTGACAGGACTCCCATTATACTGGCTCACTCCCAGACATTGGGAAGAACTGAAAGACTGAGGTGACGATGCCAGGGCTGCCACCTACACACACAGTGGCTCTCTCTGCAGCCGCCTCTGGTAAAGCTTCCTTAGTTCACATCAGTGACTGAGGAAACCTCCATCCCTGGAAGAGTATTCCATCCCCAGCAGACGCCTTTATCTGAGCTGAAGGATGATGCATTTCCTTTTTGGGGCAAGGTTTTTGTTTGTTTTATTTTTTTTTTGTTTTGTTTTAATTCTCCCTCTTTCTCTCTGGCTTCTTGTCCAAACTGCTTAACCCTAAAAAATAGGCCTTTTGTTAACAAATCTTGCTGACCATACTCTCTCCCTCCAACCAAGCTCTTCTGCCGCTCCCAAGGAAACCTCCTCTGTTATGTCTGGGGTAAGAAAGCACAAAGAACCCTTCCTCTCCCCGCTGCTTCTTCTCCCTAGTACCCCAAGCCCTGCTCTGGGCCTGCAGCAGGAGGCTGGGTGGACAGAGGTTGGGACAAGGAGAAATAACCTGACTTCTTCCTTATTTTCCTTCAGCGCTTTCCACCAGCACCATCTTCAGAAATCTAGAGCCTGCGTGGAAGAGCTGGGGAGAGGACTAGGTGGGGAAGTCCCGTCCCGGGCTCCCTCTGGGAAGGGAGCAGCAAGGTCTTCATGGGCGCTGGGACACTCATTCCCAGCCTGGGAGAACCGTGTACAATTATTTCACCTGGATCTTTCTTTTTCCCCTTCAACAGCCCTATTACCATATTTAAATGCAAGTATGTCTCTTTTCGTTGGCATTTTAAGTAGCTTAGCGTGACCTTTTTAGAGTAGCTCTTTTCCCTTTTGAACGTCTTGCCCTCGTAGAACCATGTAGCTCGGACCATAGTCTTAGAGTTTAGTGAGCTTCTAGTTCGCTCTGTGTGGAGGACGTTCCTCCTCTCTTTGCCTCTCTGCTCCCTGCTCTTCCGGTGCATGTCTTCTTTTTCCCTCGTCCTGTAGAAGTGCCTCATCAGTGGGACAGGCTCTGTGGCTAAAGTCAAGCAGCTCCTTTGGGAGCAGTTTGGTGGGTTTGCCAGGGCTTCTGGTGCATCATTTAAAGAATAGCCCTGGAAGTGGGTCTTGGGGTCAGGCTGCAAATGTCTACCTGGTAGCAAGAAGATATTTGTCTTTATGTATGTGGAAGTATGTCTGTTTGTGCTCCAGTGCGTGACTTGTGTGTCAGGTTAGTGGTCAGAGAAGCCCAGGAGAGGGGAAGACTCTGCCCGCCTCTTCTTTGATGTGGACATTTTGCAGCCACGTGCTTGGCCTCACCTTCATCCTGCCTGGCCTAGCTTTGCTAGACAGTGCAAATCTTAACCAAAAGGATCCCTGGGTGGCGGGGAGGGGACACTCTAAGCTGGCTTCATCTGAGGGTGGCCTCATACACTGGAGTCACATCTAAGTTCCCTGTTATTGCCATAGGGTGGGGTATAGTCGGTGGTAGTTCATTTATCTGACATATGCAAAGCCCAGGGTTCCATCTCCAGCACCACAGAGGGATGAGGTAATAACACAACTCTGGGAAGATCGAAACACTAAGGAAGACATTCAGAACCACAGGGTTCACCCCAGGTAGAGTCCCTCAGCTGTCTGACATCTGGCCCTATGTATATACTCACCCAGGAACACCTAAATGCTTTGCCCTGAGCCTGGGGCCGTGGCTCTTCTGATGAGAAGTTTTGACCACTCTAGAGCTCAGATGACCAGACCTTTGGAGAACTTTCAGGAGTAAAGCCATCTCTAGGCAGGCCCTGGTGCCTTTTCCATGAAGAAGCCAGGCCCAGGTGCTTCCCACCTTGGAGCTCCAGCTGACCCCACCACCAGAGTCCCTGTAAGGAGTAGCAGGCCAGCCTGGGTCATCATCAATGTGTCAGTGTGGGGTCAACAGAGACCGCAGCTCAATCCTCGGAAGACACAGGTCCTGCTCATATTCGAGTTACTGCCATGTGCTTCCTATAATGCACTTCTGGAATGACCAGTGTGTGAGATTCAAACATCTAAAGATATCGTGCCTTCCAGAAGCCTGAGAGCTGCTGACCTGTATCCCCCAGCGCTGTCTGTGAAGCTCTTCCCATCTGTCTTTTTGTGTGACCTGGGGTCCTCTCTGGCTCCTTCTGACTCTGCTCCTCCCTCTCTCCAGGCTTCCCAGCAGCGGCTTATGGACCAGTGGCGGCGGCGGCAGTGGCAGCGGCTCGAGGATCAGGTAGGAAGGTGTGCGGGGCAGGCGGCTCCCAGGCATGCCTCGTATGCAGGGGAAGGTAAAAGCCCTGCCAATCTGTGTGGCTGCATCTGTCCAGCACCCCTCTCACCACAGCCTAGGGGAGGGGTTGGGGACATGGAGGCACCACCAAGGCCCAGCCACCCAGGGCTGTTCCTATAGTAGTCAGCCACAGTTAGGGGACTACAAACCTCAAGCAGAATTGTGCGCCCATTAACAAAGAGAAACTGTCTTCCCCTTTGGCTTTCCAAGCCCAATTTCAAGGCATTCTGGTCACTGCCGTCCTTGGCTTTGGCAGGTTCAGAAGGTTCCTTTCCTTGGGTCTCTGACCTGGCCAAAGAGATACTAAGTAGGCTGTCTCCAGCCAAGCCTGGCAGGTGTGCTTTTTACTCTGGCTCAACCAACTTCCAGAGCCCTTGAAGCCAGATATGGACCAATCCTTGAGGTCAGAAAAGGAGTAAAGCTGTTGTAGCCCAAATCCCTGTTGCCCCACCTTCTAAGTCAGGCAGCACTAACAAAATTGGAGCTTTCTCTCCCATGACCATATCCTAGCCTTTAAAAAGATCTGGAACCCTTCAGTGGCCAGGGAACACTTCCCTAGCAATACTGTAAGGTCCAGCCAGAACTGGGGTGTGTCACCCCACCATGAGTGCCACGGGCTTTCTGCCATGCACTGGGCATCCCTGGTGACAGCTGATCTCTCCACCTAGCCCCTTCTTCTTGAGTAGTTTGGCTCCAGCTCTTTTACCCTGCCCTGCCACCCCAACCACACCCCATGAGCAGGTCACTGGAGCACTAATTGAACATGGGCAGGATGGGGTGCTGGTGAAGGTACCAGAAAGTGGAGCGTTAAAAGCCCAGAGGGCAAATGCCAAAAACCCAAATTGGCACGGTGAGGCTCATTAGAATATGTCAGAGAAAATCCGTTCCATGCAAACTGGCACTGCCTCCGAGCTACAAAGGATCCTCTTCCCCCAAGATACCCGCTGGAGTTTTGGGGGGCCTGGGCAGGGAATTAATTGAGGGTGGGGGGACTACGGAGGGGCAGTTGACCAGAGAGCTGGTGATTGGCAGACAGGCTGGGAAGTCCAGAAGCATGGGCACCTTCAACTTCCAGCCACTCTAGTCTCTGAAGGCACCGCCTTGCCCTCTGGCCAGTGTCCCTCGGTGTCCCCCACTCCCAGGCCCTAGGAAGGGTGCACAGTTGCATCATATCTTCCTGTTTCTGGTTGTGGGGTTGTTAACTTGAGTGTTTTGGGGGGAATGAAAACAAGAAGCCTCATTCCTACCTGTGCCTGGGAGGGGAGAAAGATCAAAAGAACAGTCTTGAAATTTGTGAGTGTTGTTGTTTGTTTTCTCTGTTCAGTTTCTTCCTTTTGATAACTTTTGGATTATGAAACTAAACTTTAACCCGAAATTAACCCTGCCTCTCTCCCCACCCCACCCCGTCCCCCTTGACTTCATGGCAAGTTTAAAGGGCAGTATGGGATTCTTTGCAAGTCTGAGAGCTGCCTCCCAGTCTGTATCCCCTTCTGCCACCCCTGCCCTCCACAGACCCCCCTCCCAGAGCCAGGCGGGAGCCCCACTCACCCACCCCTCTAACTCCTAACCCTCAAGGTCATCTCCAACCACACATTTTGTTTCCAGGATCAGTGGTGTTTTATTTGTAGCCATTTCCATCGGGAGCCAAATCTCCCACAGGCCATCAAGGTCAGCCATGCTCATTGCTGCACTGTTAGTGAATCGTATTCAGGAGTATGCTCCCCAAACCCCTGCCCACCCCAGCCTGGGTTAGTACAAAGAGTAAATCCTCAGCTTGAGGTACCCACCCAAGGGCAAACCCCCAGTGCTGCCTAGGGGCTGTAGGCTTGGGCTGTGCCCACTGTAGAGAAAACGTGGTCTCATCCGCTCTTGGAGACTACATAGCCCAGCCCAGAGCCCCACCTTAGGACCTGGACCAAGGCTGTAAAGTTGGGGAAGGAAACTGCCTTTTTAATACATTTTGGCCCATAGGGGGACTGTAACCGTATTCCCTCAAGAAGATGAGCTTAACTCTGAGCCTGGAAGGTTGGCCAGTTAATTTATCTTGAGTGGCCCTTCATTGGCAAACACTCTGCTGTGAATTTGGGGAAGGCCACACATCAGTACATGCACCCATAGGGTTCCAAGGCACTGATAATCCAGATTTCCCAGTACCAGCTCCTCAAACCTTGCCCCACCCCACCTCCAGCTCTTCCCCCAAAGCTAAGGATGCTCCCCAGGCCTCCTGAGCAAGCAGCCTGCATCAGGGGTCCTCACAAACTCATTAGAACCCATGGATTACCTTCCTGGAGCCTGGTACCATGCCACACCTGACAAGTGACTACAGACTCCAGGAAATGTGGTCTCTCCAGGAACTCCTGGACTTGGCTTAGGGATTAGATATCTTGTGGAAGGCAACATTTTTGTCATTATTTTTATCTAGCCTCCCCCCTCCCCCCGTTTTAGTTCTCAACCCACTCCACCCCCACCCCTTCGTTTTGACTTCCCTTCCCGTGTTAGGAAGCACCTGCTGAGGGCCATGGGGGTGGGAGGTAGCTTGGCTCTTTCTCAGGGTGGCAACTTGTGTCTGTCAGGGCTGTGGTATCGAGGTAGTCAAGGGGGAGCCTTGAGCTTCTGCCTCAGCCTGTTTCTCTGGGCTAGCCTGCCTACCTTTTCTTACTTCCCCCAGAGCCTGAGGTGAGCAGGGCACAGGTGTCCCAGCCGGGGCTGCCTCTGCCGACTCCTAGATAACTTCACTATCAGTGGTCACTTTTCTTTCACGTTCACCTGGAAGTCTGAAACATCATCCTTTCTTGTGCTCAGTCAAGAGTTTGTTTATTTTGATCGTACTCATTCAGTTCCAGCGGCACCACCCCCCATCACGTCCCATCCAAACATAAATCCAGTTTGACAATTGACCGCCCCTCTCCCCAACCTGAGGACAGCAGTACCAATTTTCAGGGTACTTTTATTTTGGGGGGGGTGACCTCATGGGTGGGTCTGTGTATCACTCTTAGAACTTGCAGAGCACCCCCTGGTATCACCCACCTACCCATGCCCACCCTCAGGCCCCAGCCAGGACTCCTTACTGTACTTTATACTTGCCAGCTTTATTCCAGTCTAGTGCCGTGAGCTCCTGATGGTGGTGGTGAGTGTGAGCAGTCATGTTTCTGTTGTCTTTTCTCTTGCTTGGTTGGGGCTGCGGTGAGAGAGTGTCTCTGAGGCATACTTTCCCGCCTCTTACACTAGGACCTGCACACCTCCTCTCAAACACTCTTCTGAACACGCTCAGCGGGAAGGTTTGTCCACACCTATTAATCCTCTCTCAGTGTCCAGCTTCCTGTTAGTACCAGCTGGTTTGCATGTTTTGCTTGTTCAGATGAAACAGTTCAAGAAACAAACTCATACCCAACTCTCGAGAAATGTCTCTTTTTTTTTTTTTTGTACACTTTCGTTTTCTATTTTTTTTATCAGTTACAACTCCAAAACACCTGTTGTCTAGTAAAACATTTCACACCTCCCTTGCCTGTTCTTAGATTGTATGTATCTGTGGGACTGAACTAAATGCATGCATTGTAGTAGATGTCCTGGTAGCTGTAGCTGTAGTTGTAGAAAATGCATTGTTGAGTTGATATTACAGGGTCTCCGAAGGCGCGGCCCAACACCGCCGTCTGAAAGATAGCATGGGGACTAGGAAAGAGAAGGGGTTCCATGTTTTCAATGTTGCCAAGGGGCTTGGATCCATGTTCTCGCCATCAGCCACCACCACCTCTCCTCACGATCCCCACTCTCCCAGTCTAGAACTGGGTCACCACCCTCAGCTCTAGCCTCACCATAGCAGACGCCAGTGGAGCCAGGGTTGGAAGGAGTCATCTGGTTCTTCCAAGGTCTGATCTTCCCCACACTGTTCTTGACCAAAGCAACAAATCTTTTCTTGTTTTGTTCTGTTTTAAGACCATCAGTCAGGCTTCTCTAAGCTCAGCTTCTCCTTGAGCCCTTCAGGGACACAGGTCCCTATGAAATGGTCAGCCTGTGTCATCTGCTCCTGTGGGTCGGGGGAGGTAAGATATGGTAGGGAAGGGATTGGGAGCACCAGCCCCTGCAGACAGGGAGTACATTTGTCCCTGGTTGATGTTGACATTGCCTCTTATGAGTGGTGATAATGAAAGGGGCCAGTGGGGTGAGTGATGGCCCAGCATCCCTTGGTGATGGCCCAGCATCCCTAGTGGGAAGGTGACTGGCACAGCTTTGCAGGGAAGAGAGAAGCGTGATGGGCCTGTGACAGCCAAAGAAGAGGCCACTCAGTTTCCCCCTAGGTCTCCCTAGAGGGGTTTTCTTGCAGGGGGGACCTTTGTTTTCTACTTGGGGCATGTGTGGTCAGCCATCTTTGAACACACTGTCTTCTCTGCATGTGTGATAAGCCATAAGGGAGTGCCAGAGACCTCGGAGCTTTTGACCCTAGCTTTCTAAGACCATATGAAGTGAGAATAGTAATTAGTACCCAGACCTGCGTGTCAGGGTGCATGACATCTGATCCGGCCATGGGATAGAACCTATAGGATCAGGTAATCTACCATGGGACACAGAAATTGGAAAAAGGTCACAGAATCCATAGCCATCTTCAAAAGGCTATGTCATGATAGAACAAAACAGAAGCCTCATGGGGGAGAAAAAAAAGCTTCGATGCTCTGGCAGAGTTTGAACACATAGGAACTGAGCATGTGCCAGAGCAGACAGAATGAGGACACCAAGGCTCCAGGTGGAAAAATTCAGGAGGAGCCATCCTTCCTGCAAGGTCCCCCTGGGGACAGGGGAGGCAGGCAGAAGAAAATGGCTGAGTCTAGGCTTCGATGCTGCTGCAGATGCAAACTGACCTGAGGCTAGGGAGTGGGGGCAGCAATTGGGAGCAGAACCAGAGGGCAGAACCCCAGGCTACTGACCTGCATCCTGCATCCTGCATCCTG